AAAAAAAAAAAAATTCTAATTTATTTTTCAATTTGTCCATGTCAGATCCAAAGGGGAAAATAAAACAACATCACCTTACATTTTAATATATTTTGGGGACCTGTACAGTGTCAGAACTCTTTCACATTACATCTCATTTGAGGCACACTAGGATTCTGAGAGACTGGTAGGAAGACACTAACATGATCCTTATTTTATAGAATAAATTGCAGCCTCAGAGCAGTCCAAACCTATTCAGGATCATGTGGCTAGTACGACACAGAAGCATGGTTAGACTCAGTCATCTGATTTCTACTCCAGAAAGGCCATATAAACCCTGCGCAACAGATTTCCATCTTTAGCCAGCTTACCCTGAGCATATGTAGCTTCAGTGCTATCCACAAACAGGCGCAGGGAAATGTGCCTGGTTTCAGCTGGTAAAACATTAATGACTCCTTGGAGAAAAATGGAGTGAGCCCCATCAACATACCCGCTGCTATAATAATGAATTCCAGGTGAAGTAAATTGGTAAGAAAATGAACCTGCCATGAAATAAGATAGTACATAATAAATACAAGCAATTAATGCATTTATCAAAAGGGAGTGAAAAAATTTGACATGACCATTTAAATGCACCTGCAGATAACAGTTTTCTTATTTTGTGTGTGTGATATTTCAACAGGAAGCAGTAAGGAAATGACTCACTGGCTATAAAGGAGCTATCTTGTGTAATAAAATTACATTCCGGGAAGACAAGATCCAGCATTAATTTTCTAGAAAACCATGGCAAGTCTGGCATAACTTATCAAAAAACAAATAATGAACAATGACAAAAAAAACATACCTCAATCTGGAATAAAAAATGTATAGAAAAACACAATACTTTGTTTTTTTTGTGAGTGAAAAATTCAAACCATTACATCTATAGGACAAATAGGCAATTGAAAAGGTACCCTTTACACTGAGCTGTCCTAGGAGGAATACTGATTTTAAAACTGATTCCAACCAACAGAAGTTCATCACTTCCTACCAGATTGGTGTGATTAAAACATGCATTTCCTATTTTCATTGTATTTTGCTGTTTCATTGTATTTTTCGATTGGTTGATTATCACAGAATCAATAAAGATATTTCTAATATTTGAATTCATTTTAATATAAAATAATTTTTTTACACTCATTTATAACATTTTTAGTACAACAATAAAATGCCAATTAAGCCACTTTGTGCATCTAAAAGTATTTTAAATCTAAACGAAATGTCTTTTTTATTACATCTAGGAAAAAGAGGCGTGATGCAAAACTCAAGGAAGCAGAAACATACCTGATGGAGATTTCTGTCTTCCATTTGTAAATCCTTTGCCATCATAAATTACACTTCCAGGACTGGAGACAGAGAAAACTCTATATCCTATTCCCCTAAGAAATGGGTGTGCTTGCCAATGCCATGTCACTGTGTCTCCCACAGACACGTTTAAGACTGATGGTGACCAGGCATAACCTAATCCATGTTCTGGGAGCAACAATTGAGTCATATTTTAAAAGAAAAAAATGGAAAAAAGTAAATTTCTTAATTATTTTTGAAAACATTGTATTTTTCTATAGTCACTAGTGAAAACAACCTTTTAATTAACATTATAAAACTTTATTATGTACATAATTTAAACACTTAAAAAAATAAACAATGGAAAGTAAGATAATGAAAATAAAAGGAAAAAAGTCACACAACTCCAAAAGTAATGATTAAGAGACAGTTTGAAAAAAATTGGAAACAAAAATAAGTTGTTCAGAAATATTACATAGAATATTTTTTTAAAGCTATGATCAATTCTTTAAACAAAAACAATTTCTGAGACATAGATGCATACAAAAGTATAGATACTTTCCATCTGAATATTTATTTGGATCCCATTACTGATAATAAACTACAGTAACTCAGAAGGTTCTGTACCACAGTAAAGTCAAATGGCAATTCCTGAACTTGAAAATGTGAAGTCTAGCCTTCTAGATTCAAGTCTACCACTTATTCATTCTATATGTGACCCCTACGTCAAGTGTATACCACTGACAACTTATAAAAGAAATACAATACTTATTCTATGAATAACTTAAAGTATAAAACAGATTAAAATCAAATTGATTCCAGGGTAAAGTGCTTCCGTTATTCACGATATATAGATGTTGGCTGGTACCTGAATCTTCCCCATTGTTGGTAATTCTGAATACATTCCCTGTTGAGTGAAGAATACATTTGATGATATTTTCTGATGATGATGTCACATTGCAAGGGAAGGATCCTAGAAAGAATAAAGATGGAAAAAAGTTCTTAAATATTTTTTGTGAACTAGAGAGATGAAGTATAGTAAGATCATAGTTAAGGCCCTGCAAAAGCTCTGCCTTATACAGTAGTATCTTCGGTCCCTTTTTTCTGATCATAATCATGTTTAGCACTGATTATTTCCAGCACAGAGACCCCTCCCCCCTTTTAGGTGTTCTATACACATTAAATACATGGTAATTATTTATTGAAATCAAAAGCAGTTATGTAGTTTGTCTTTACTACCTTAACCAAATACACTTAACCTTTTATACACTGATAGAAAATTAAAGCTTTCATGATTGAGAGTATTTGTGTAATAACTCAGCACCTATAGCACATCCTTTAGGCTGAGAAAAATGCTAACAGCTGTCCCGTGGGATGAAGCTCTTACCTAACAGCACAGTATTCTCAGTTGGTGCTGTGCTGAACCCAAAACCCTTTATAGTGATTTCGGTTCCACCATATAAGGAACCTCTCTGTGGAAACATGTTGGTCACTTCTAATATATACTGTATTGAAGCATTTAGCTTGTCTCTGAAAAAGAAAAATGAATAGATTTTTCAATGAGCTTTCCATGGGTACTTATCTCTAAACTCTTGCTAGAATATGACTCCTTTAGGGAGAAGAAGTAATTGAATATTTAATTTAACATTACTTTTTCAAGCTAGATAATCTGATAATTATCATAACTTCAATTTGGTTGAATGGTGTATGTTAATAATTTTTCCTAACTATGAAAATTAGATTTATGAAAATCTAATGGCCGAAGAATTTGAGATGGATAATCTTAAAATGTTATGGAAAAATATGGTTATGAGAATTAAGGTCATAAGAAATACATGAAATCCTTTAAAATATTTTATACTTTCTTTAGAGTAAGACATAAAGGCAATTAAATCTATAAAAAATAGAATAGCAATGAAATTCCTGTATCTTGTATGAGTAATCAAAGTTTTGTATAATTAATTTGAATTTATCATTCCATGTTTGTTGGAAACTTGTCAGGAATTCCCTTCCCACTATTTCAGTGAGACTTTTTAATTTATTTTGCTTTGTTACAATGTGTCTGCTAGGAGACCGTCAAAACATACAAAGATTTTCTGACTTGGTGTAGAGCTGACTCCCACATCCCAGCTCCCACCATAACTGCAGAGAGGCGGAAAAACTCAAATGAGTTATTGTGCTAACTTTTATTTGGCTTCCACAGTATAACTGAATTGGAATTTCTCGAAACCCCATCTGTATACTCAATTTTGTATGGTGTCAATTCTGCCCATTATGTCACCAAATCAAAGCACAAGCCAACAGCTCTTCCAGAATCCATGTGAACCCCGCCCTGTGACTTTAAGAGGGGAGTGGTCCTGAGGTTTATGTTTACTGTTGCTCATCTTCTTTCATTTCCTGCGAGATTTAGCTGCAATCATCTCTCTTTCCACTCTGACATCCACCTTATTATTTGCCTTTTTCTCAATCCTCAAATTTCAGTTTCCTCTTTTTCTAAGCATTCCAAACCAGTAATTCCCTCATACTGGAACTAAAATTTCATTGGTTAACAAACAATTTTGGGGAAGAAAATACTAAATACCTACAGGAAATAGAGTTGGAGAAGGATTCTCTCTCTCCTCTCCGTCAGAGGGCCAGCTCCTACCCATTTCTTGGCTTAACTGCCACCTTTTCAGAGACTCCTTCCCTGATCCTCAGGATAAGTTAGTTTTCTTTGCTATATACTCTTACGGTACCTGGTACCTCTTATTCATAGTCTTTTTCATATTTATAATTAAGTTATCGATGTACTCTTCTGTTTGAAATCTCTCTTTCCAACAAAACTGTGAGCACCATTAATGCAGGGGACTTACCTCTCTTATTTCCCATCATGAATCCAGCACTGAGCAAGTGCCTGACCCCAAAAACTGCTTGATAAGTTCTTCCTGAATAAATCGACATCACATGACATACATATAAATCTAGTTGCACAGAGAATTTTACAACCTGATCTGAATGGTATTGGTCTGAAAACTGTGTCATATTGCATGTTGTGAGACAGTCTCAGAATCTTTTGTAAAAGGAGGTATAGAAAGTGAAGAAAGCAATTGACGTATTATAGGTTAATGCCTATATCTTTCCCCATCCCAATTCTACTAGCTTCAGGTTTTCCACAACTCCACTGAGTTTATGTTCATTACCATACCTTGTTGATGCAAAACCCCAGTTTCTGACTTCCACATAGATATCATGTTTTCCAGGAGACAACTTGGGCAAAAGACAACTAATGTCTGTGAAGTTCCAGTGAAGTACTTGGCAGGTTTTTCTTCCAACATATACCACCGTGTTTTGTGTGATTTCATTTCCAAAGTTATAACCCTTAATTGTTAAGTTAACTTCTCCTATTATTTTAAAAGGAAAAGGAATTTTATAAAAAGTTCCATTTTATCCAGTGTGAAATTGCATATTATATAAACCAATTCATTTCTTATCCTTCACTGGATTTAAGAAATCCTGACGCTTTCAGAGGCAAAAGGAAAAACAATGAAAGAGTTGATGGCTGCCACATAGAGATAAAATTCATATTTAATTATTTCACAAGGAAAAAAGATGTCATAGCACTTTTTAATAAAACAATATTTCTCTCCTTACTGTTAAAAGTGAAATTATAATCTATAGTAAAAAAAGAAAAACATGATTAGTTTCATTTTAAGAAACAAAACTGTAGGAGAAACTATGATTCAAAAGACATTGTAGAAGTGATTTCTATGTATACGTCAAACAGCTGAACTTATTGAAGAACGTCTTACCTAGTATTGTCCGTACTTTTGGACTAAAGTCAGTTATAACTGGAGTCTGTAAGCAATTATAACTGAAAGCATCCTTTGCCAAGGCTTGAAATCCATTGGTAATAACTGAAATATTAACTGTACCCTCAATTCTCTAATGTAACAGAAAAAAATAAAACAATTAGAAAATGTTAAATGTTGACATATGGAAATCCAGTAGCCAAAAACTAATAGAACTTTTAAAAATAAACTTCTGAAGATGTTTTGTTTCAAAGTCATGAATCAGAGTCAGTTTTCAGATATTTAGAAAAGTTGTGGTGTCAATAAAGGTTACATATTCGAATTCTCAAGATGAAGGTCTATGATATATTGGTTCTGTGGGTTTTATGATCAATTTAAATGTATTTATATTATTGGATTTCTGAGAGCTCCACAATGTAGTTGAGATGCTCTGGAAAAGTGTGGTTCTCTAATGGATACAACATAAAATACTAGAAGTTTTGATTTTTTGCTCTTGAAACAGATTCAAATGTAATTTCTATTTCTGTTCACTGACAAATAATATTATTATATCTTTTGCCACTCTAGCTCCAGAATCCAAGACTAAGCACTTAGACACCTAAGAAAAATATTTGGGGCTTTCACTAATATAGCACCTAACACAATTCCTGATTAGGAGAAATATTTTTTTCATCATCGAGTATTTCTTTAATGCACACTCAGTGTTTAACTGAATGACATAATTTTTAAAAAATTTTAGTTTATCATATCACCCAGGTTCTCATCTCATCATTCAGTCCAACACATACTCAAATTTATTTTTCCTACGGATTTCAACTACACAATGTCCCCACTTATTCTGCTACATTTTTTTTTTAATATCAGTGACTGGATTCAGCATCCTTTTGCACAAACCAGAGTCTGGGTTTAAATTTGAAGACTGTTTTTTAAAAAATAAAGAACAATGATTGGTCCTAAGATGCAATATTCCATGGAGAACTTCACATTTTTTGGTCAACAAACAACTGAAACTTTAACACATTTTAAAATACATTCTTTTTTGAAAACCAAAAATATCTAGATTTGCTTTTGGAATTTTTTGGACTATTTATTAGTACTAAATTTTGTTTCCATCTTTTGATTTACCTGGTAAACTCCCATTCATCCCAAGCACTGATAGGACATTAACTTTTCTGTGAAACTGTTTCTGACACCCTTGTTTTTTATCTTTACTTCATATCTACTTCGATTACTTCAAATGAAACACATTGTTTAATACTGGTTTATGTGTCTGTCTTCTTTTATAATTTTAAGGATCTAGAATGTGGAGATAATTTTTTTGTCTTTAGATCTTAGCAGAAAGATGTTGAAGAAATAACTTTAAAAGAGCATAACTCTGCAATTCCTAGGCAAATAAGCCACTGCTGAGATGTTCCCTAATTCATAAGATTTGAGGCTTAGGGGAAAAAAATGACTGAAATCAGCGGCCTTACTTTTGGTGTTCTGCAGGTTATTCTATTCAAATCCCCTTCAATTACATCGCAGGTTTCATTTCCAACTAATACTTTTGAATTTTTGTTAAAGCCAAATCCAGATACAGTCAGTAGAGTACCACCTTCAAGCAAACAAGCAAAAACAAAAACAAATCAAGAATAACAAAAAGAAACTCGGGCAACATCTAACTCATCATTCAAGAATAATCCAACCATCTAAGAGATGGACGGAAGACATATAATCACCAGCACACACCAGAGCCTGAGCTCTGTAGCCTGAAACCATAAAGGAGCTGGGCAAGTTGATTTAATGAATAACATAGATTTGCAATGCACATTTGCTTTGGGGTATTATTAGTAGCAACTGCTATTTTTTATAGTGCCTTCTTCACCCTAAGGAGAAATTATGCTGTTCCTATTTGCTCATCCATTTCATTGGTAGGAAATAAGAATGAATTAAGACTCTCAACAAATCACAAATTTTAAAATCTTTCAGTAAAATAAATGCTAAGAAAAAAATAAAAATAAAATAAAGTAAAATAAAAGCACATCAAAAGATCAAAACCAAAGCACAAAATCCAAACTAAGACTAATAAAAAAAACTAATAAACAAAACACAAAGGAAATGAAGCAGGACAGGAAAAATGTGTTACTTTCTTTCCATTCTCTGAGCCTTCTTTTCCTGATTTGTTCCCAGAACTTTTCCTGGGTCAAGTAGCTCCATTGAGACTATGGTTACAAATAGAGCAGCTGGTAAGCAGAATAACTAATAAATCTTATCTTGACATAATTGATGAGCTTGTTATAGAAACATGCAATAATTGATGATATTAATTCAATAACCTAAGATGTAAGTATAAGCGGTCACCCTGACTTGTGCTTCATAAGGAACAAAAGAATTAGTCAGCCATTTAATCCCTGTGCCTTCTAAAAGGAAACTCTCCTTTGTTCTATATGAGAGAGCTTTGGGTTCTTCTCCCTTTGCCCTGAACTGGAAACAGCACAGCGAAATAATGGAAATATATGCAATTTTCTCCATTTAGAACGATTAACTCTTACCTGCTAGGCTTCCCGAAGCAGGCCAGATGTGTGAGATCTGACTCTGGTAAACAAAGTGGAGTCCCTCACCCTGTGTACTCTGTGCTAGTCCAGCATCAGCTACAGACACAGCAACTGGTGCATGTCCAGCACTTGCATTCAGAATCTGGCACTTGATCTCATTTTCTTGTGATGAAAAAGAAGAAAATGATAAAGCAAATGGTTTTTTAAGATAAAATTACTGAAAATTCATATTTTCAAATATTAACATTGGTCTTTATGTTCAGATCCTAATAAATATATCCCAAGAAAACTAACTATTCTCATACAATAATGGGGGGAAGGGGTTAGTGGAAGGGAAAAATCTTTACAAACTACCTGATACTATAAATCCTAGAAAATGGTTAGGTAAACCAATAATGAAAGCAATGTAAACAATTTGCTCCTGATGCTACTGTGACCAAAAGAGGCTACCATCATAATTTTCTCAAATTCGAATTTATAAGCCCATTGATATCAATAAATCTAAAATTTGGAGCCCAATATATTATTTATGTTTAAAACTGAATGAAATACTAGGTTTTAATCAAGAAAGGCGATCAAAAACTAAATGAAAACACGTTTTTTTACTTCAGTTAGAATAGTCTGTGTTCATGGATAATATAGGTACAGCATTGACTATTAGATCTCAAGAATGCATAGAAGATCTAAATTAAAAACAATAGAAATGATTTGGTAAATGGACTTGCTTATGAGATTCCAATCTATTAAAAATAAGGAAAATGCCTAGGATTATGAAAGACAATTGTTAGGAAAATAAATAATTATAGTAAAAAATGTAAATGGCCTTTAAATTCTATGTTAATAGATAGAGGTTCTGTTGTTCTGTAAGTCAGGGCAGTTGGCCATGTCAGGTTGCTGCCTAAATAATGTGACATGTGAAACGTGGGCAGAGGGGATCATGAACTAGACTATCACTTCATACACTTTTGTGTCTCAGAGACACACCAATGCAAGAAAGATTTCATGTAACCACTTTATGAAGGAAAAAAAAATCAACTCTTATGGGATAAAAACATTATACAATAGTGAAATAGTTAGTCTGTGGTCACAATCACATATTAAAAAGGTAAGGCATTATCTAGACCAGGGTGCCAATTTCATGACCCTTTGTGTAGTCTCTACAGGATAATTATAATTGTAATAATGCTCTTTGAGTCCACTTTCTCTTAGAAAAAAACAATTAGACTTCATAATTTTGAAAAGGACCTACCATCCACAGAAAGAAGAGAGCAGCCTACTGGTCCAACTGAGACCGATACTTCTGAACTGGGAGAAAATCCAGAGCCTACTATGGTTAGAATTGTGCTTTCTTGATAGGACCCTGGAAATGATAAATTTAAATAACAATATTAAAATGACAAAAATAAAATCTGTTGTTATAAAATAAGATATTTCTCAGAGAGAAATAAACATATTTTTTCAAAGATGTAAACAATAAGCCTACAAGCGAGCAGAGGGAAAAAGGACACATTTGTTTGGCAATGTTATTTTTTTCCGTTCAATTACTCTACATTGCTTCATATTTTGAATCTGTTGACAGAAATTATTAGAAAGAATTATCTGACTGAAAGTATGGAATGAGGTATTAAAAAAAAAGAAAAAAATATTCTTATGGTAAAGTAATTAAACAGACATCTCCATATCATAACTATGTGCACAGAATTACCATCACAAATTCATGAGGAAGGATATTCTATACAGTATATGTTGTGAACACATCATTTAAAAAAAAAAAAAGATTTCTCTATTTAGGGCGATATACATCAAAATGTGCCTGTGATAGTCCAGCTTAACACCCGCTGTCCCAGTATCTTTATACTTAATGTTTATTCATTCACTCTTGAAAGTGTCCAAGTTTGATCAATAAATTATATATATGACTATGGCAACAGTACTGATATATCACCACACAGTATATAGATCCATATGTATTTAAATAGCTAAGAATGAAAAACAAAGCTCCATACTTTTAGAAAAGAATGTAGTCAAATATCTTAATGACTTTGAGGCAGAGATGAATTTCTTAAATAAGATACTAAAAGCCATCGTTAATCATAAAGTGAAAAATACATAAATTAGAATAAATCAATTATTTAAATATTTCCATAAACAAGATATTAAACCAAAATACATGTGATATACTGAGAGAAGAAGTGCAGAGGATTGGTAAACATACCATCTAATACACAGTTACCAGTCAATAGAAGAGAGACAATCCAATTAAAAATGGATAAAGGATGCTAAACTATTTGCAGAAAAAGAAGTAACCTAACTGAATGTCTAAGATACCTGAGAGAAGATGCTCACGTGCATCACTAATCAGGGAATAGACAAATTAAAACAATGATGAGGTAATTTCTTTCACCCATCAGATAGGTCAAAATCAGCAAGCTAATAATTTCAAGTATTGGCAAGGATATAGGGAATATGGTGCTCTCACACCTGCTGGTAGGACAGTTACCTTAGAGAGCAGTTTGGTCATCTAGTAAGCTACACATATACCCAGTGATTATTCAGCAATTCCACATCAGGGCATATACCCTAAAGAAGCTGTAGCATGTATGCAATAGGAGATTTGTACAAATAGTTGTCTATCAATAGAGAAGTAAATTAATACAGTCATGAAGTACTTTATGGTGATGCATTAGATGTAGATAAGCCACATAAATATACCTCAAAATGAATGCTGATGACAAAAGTAAAAATTTAAAATGATATTTACATTGTAATATCTCATTCATAAGCTTAAAAACGTGGAAAAATTACCATATGTGGTGTAGGAGAATACAGACAAAGTTAATTACTATAATTGCCTCTGGGGAGTTTTTCAGGGGACTGGAATTAGTCATGGTGCTTAAAGAGGATGGTAACTGTTCCTATAATATTTTCTTTCTTAAATTGATGATTGGAAGTAAATATGAGAAAACGTTAACAGCTGTTAATTATCAGTGATGACAAAATGGGTGTTTTTTTTATAGTACTCTCTATACTTATCTCTTCATTATTTTAAAATTGATCAAAGTGTGGCAAAAGGTTAATAATTTTGAGTAAGAAATATTTTTTCAGGAAGTGCACATATGAGTAAAAGTAGAAATTCATTACAAAATGCAAGGATGAATGCAAACGTAAGAATACCAAATTAAACAGAAGGATCCTTAACATAAGGATGACCAAGTTAAATTTAATCAAATCCTTATTTTTGAGAGTTTTGATGCCATAAAACATGAATTATCCAAAAGTTAATATCAGTACTGTATAAATAATCTGAAGAATATATTCTTTCAACACAAAGATGCACTATTTTAAAATTTGTGACCCTTTTGGGGGGTCTGATATAAAATTAGCAGGTAAATTTCATGACCAGCTACTAAGACCAACTATGTAATTATAGTATCTAAGCTATTCTTTCTGATTGAACAAAAAAAAAAAAAAAAAAAAGCTACCCCTTACAATCCTTATTTCTTCTGCTTATTTCAATCCTTGGGTGCTCAGACACAAAGCATAATCAGGTGGGGTTTTTTGAGACAATAACATAGTATGAAGATATGGTACAATGTGTTTCCTAGACTGAGCTTTTGTCAGTAATTTTTCTATCTTTTATTCTCAAATCTATGGATCCAATTATTTTCTTTCACTAAAAGCAGCTGTCTTGTTATTAGCCTTAAATACTAAATCTCCTAGAAGTGGTCTCATATAATGAAATTAATACCATAGCTAGCACAGTTGAACAAAAATATGCCACAATGTCATAGCAAAACTTTAGAGACTGATTTTAACTGGTGAAGATAGAGGACTTACTTCGAAGACGATTTTTTTTTTTCAAAAATTAGTTAGTGCTCTTTCCATAGCTTTCTTATCTGATACATTTATTTTTCATTATGTGAAACTGTCTGCTTCCCTTAGATGGTGACATTACTATAAATATATTTTTAAACCATTATCAGAGTTTACATTTTGCTAGTTATCTTCCACCCCATATTCCAGGTTAAAAAGCAGGAGGTTACCTTGAGAAGGGCTTATGGACAAGACTAGGGGAGTTGTCATGGGATCCCATGTAAAACCACAGTCACCTGAACATTTAGCTGGAATTCCATTGACATAGACTTCAACCTTCAAATAAAGAAACACAGAGCTAGAGAACAGGGGCAAAGGGGCAGTATGGTTCAGTAGAATATGCATAGGGTTTAGAATAAATGATGATTTTGTTTGTTTGCCTGTTTATCTACAAACATTGGTCTATTTATATGTTTCTACTTTGACATTTCATTCATTCATTTATTCGTTCAGTGAACATGTTCACTATGTATCAGACACAGTTGTAAATGTTAGAAATACAAGAATACAACATTAAATTAGACCAATGACATCCTTACTGTCACTCAACTTATATTCTTGTAGGGCTAGGATAGAGAGCGGCATAAAACTATAAATAAAAAATAATAAATGCATATTATGCTTGGAATTGATTAGCTCTAAAAAGAAAAATAAAGGTTGCTCTTGGAAAAGTCCCCTAAACTCTTCACACTTTGATTTCTTCATCATTAAATGGCAACATTATTAATTACTTCACAAAGTTACTGTAAAGATTAAATGAAAGAGCATATTTCCAGATTCTGGCAGTAGTAGAGCTTAAAAATCCATAATTTTATCATAAGGAAGATAATTCTTTCAACAGTCATAGAATACTACTATTGAGTTGATCAATTTAACACAAATATTCACATGAAAATAGAGAAGTCAACCCTCCTGTTTTACAATGTCCTTAATGTATTACAAACTAGTTATACACTGAAAATTATGTTAAACACCATGAGAAAATGTTCTAAAATACCTGGGGCTGTTGACTGGGTGTACGAAGTAGGTCTCCACATATGCGTTGTCTGAATAAGCCACCTTCCTTTATCTTTGTAACTGTCATATTAGCCTTTTCTCCAGTAATGCTGGAATCATCAACCTATTTTTATGCAAAATTATTTTACTAGAAAGGCTATGATAAATATGACCGTGCTAATTTTTCTGTTTTAATTTGAGCCTAAGTGAAAGTGAATAAACCCAAAGGACACAAAAGAAAAACTAAAGATCATTTTAGTCACATTTTTCTGAAAAAGATAAGTTTAAAAATAACTTATTTAAAAATGTTTAACCTATCCAAGAAAAAAAATGCTAAGACCATGACATTATACATTGCATCTATTACAACTTGAATTAAATGACTAAAATTAACTTCAATTTGTAGAATTAATAAGTTTAAAGAAAATTAATTCACTAAATTAGATTTTCTCAAAATTTTTATTCTTTGATAAATTATGGTTGAAATAATAGTCGAAATCGTGAATTCTTGTTCCACCTGAGAGTCAACTTTCCCCTTTAGCATTTTTTATCTCTGACTATCCTGGTCTTTCATCCACTCCTGAAATTATATTTTCTTCCAATGGTGATAATGAAACCAAATCAAATCAACACATACAATTTGGTCATTCCAAAATCCCTCTGCCAATGTAACAGCCTTCTGATGTCTGCGGGGGCTTGCAAAGAGATAGGAGTCTCCACGCTGGGCCGTGCATGAGCCAAAGTGATAAAGAACAGAAGTGAATAAGTAGAAGAGGCTGGTCATAAAAGATAGAACAGAATAGATGCACAGACACCAACAGAGAGACCAAGAAGGAAACCAGTCCCAACAGTGATCTCAGCTGTGGAATTTTCTAATTCCAGTCCCAGGCCATGAGTTTTCTTAAAATAACCCCCATATCTTTGTGGCTGTTACTGTGTGGCACATCCATACAGACTTGTGTTCTATGTTTACATACTTTTGTGTTTTTGTCTCCTATTTTTCTACCTCCACTTCTTTCCTCTCACCATCCCACAAATGATTTGATAAGTAGAGTTCTACATTCTTTTTCACATTTTGTCATGGATAGCTTTCCAGGTGAATGTATGTGGGTCTACATATGGCAGCACAGAATTTGTGTGAAGGTTATGTTATTTAAACAATCATTCTATTAATGGGGATTTAGCTTTCTACGATTTTATTATTACATAATGCTGCAGTGGCTACCCATGTGCCTATATAATTTTACATTTGTATTATTAGTTTAGTAGGATAGAGTTACATAAATGAGATTGCTAAATTACAAAATATCTATGTTCAGATATTACCAAATTATCTTCCCAAAAGATTGTACTAATTTACATTCTCACCAACATTGCATAGGACAGACTGTCTCCTCACTTTCAACACCATTAGAAAGCATCATCCTTTTATTGTTGGACAATTGGAGCCCCCAGTCTTCTCTAGATTCCTCTCCTTCACATACTCTGGATCTGACTCCTCTCCCCTGTCTTCTTCCATACTCTAATTAAGCAAAGGTAATTAGATGAGAGCTTAAGGTGTTTCCCCCTTATGAACTTGAAAAGGTCATCTTTATAACCACAGATGGGTCCAAAGCCCCAGAATACAGCTCTAGTGGTAGAATTATAGACAGTGAAGTTGATTTTCCTTGGCCCTCCTTAAAGTATGCATTGATTTAGTTCTGTGACTGGCCTGCCTGTGTTCCCCCTGCCCCTGTTAAGGGTTTTCCAACACACATATTCCTGGAGTTTTACATATGGTGTAGGGAATGAAGTACCGACAGCTATGCTCCATGAAAGAGCACACCTGGTCAATTTAATTTAGAACAACCTTCTCCATGATTTTCTTTAAAAAATTTTTAACCTATAGTTTGCATTTTAAAAATATACACAGTCTCAAATTCTTTTGGAATGAGACAGTGTGCAAATAAGCAAACAACACATAGAAAACAGGAGCCAAGCCAAACGAAAAAACCTGTAGAAGATTCTGCCTTCCACACATGCTTCTCCACTTGATGTTCCATGAATATCCAGCACAGGTTCCCTCTCGTGTAACTGAGATTTGTCCCACTTCCTCCAGACTCTGGAGAGCAAACTGCAGATCTGCAGCTGACACAGCAGCAGGGAGGCCTGAATTCACAGAGGGATGGCAAACAGCACACATTGAAACTGGCAAACCAATTCCATCTTCAGCATACACCAAATGTATAGGATGTATTATCACTTGTAAACAGCATGTCCTCCTCCAGTAGAGTAAAAATGAAACTCGCATCTTACTTATGCCAAGAATTTGCATATTTCTTGGAAACAAAATAAAAACATACAATTTTACCTGTCAATGTAATAATAATGATGATAAAATTTTTAAAAATTATAATAGTAATGTACCTCATACTGTGGCCTTAGCTCAAATACTTTTATTTTTAATATGAATTCACAAATATAAAATATCAATTCATTTTGACATTAAAAATAAAATATTTTTTATATTTTTATATTAAAATACTTTTTATAAAAAAAAATAAAAAGTCTTAAATGCAAAGATATAAAATAAATTTTACAGATAATCAATTTTATTTTTAATACCAATTTTAATGTGATTAAATAAATGGATTTAATTTCAATTAGCAGACCTTTGAGAATCCTAATAACCTATAAGTCATGAAGATAAAAGAGAAAAAAGCTTTTGGGAATGTAACCTGGTATATCTGGTGAGGGAGAAATGTAAACATATTCCCATTTCCTTGTTCTGAATAACTTAGCTTTACATTACTGACATAATCTCAATTGTATAAATTAAACAGAGAAATACTACTAGAAAGAAGTACACAAAAATGTTTAGTATGGTGGTCAAGATTAGCACTGTTGAATTGATAACTACTGTGAACCACATATATTATTTTGCATTTTCTAATAGCTATATTTTAAGAAGTAAAAATAAACAGGTAAAATTATTGTAATAATAAATTTTACAGAATCCCTTAAAATTGTATGTTATTATTTCAACATGTGGCACCAGTCACATTTCAATTGCTCTGTAGCCACATATTGGCTCATGGCCACTATAGTGGACAGCACAGGTTTAGACAATTCAATTATAGTTGTCTTTAAAAATAATATTCCAATTCTCAATTTTTATAATATTTTAATATTATCATTATTATTTTGGCTAACACAGTAATGAATGCTTATTTTCAAAAATGTATGTATTATAGAAAGGTATGACATGAAAATCATAATTGGAACCACCTTTGAAAAATGACTGTTAGGAATTTGTTATATATTTTTGCGGACTTTTTCTTATATTATTTTCACATAAAAACAATCATTATTAATCATGTTGGCTTTGGATGGATGAGTTCTTTTCTAATATATTAAAAGAAAGATTTAAAACAAAAACATTATGATTGGCTATTAATTGGCCATAATGTGGTATATATTAATATATATACACCTGTATTACTAGACTAGACATTCGAATGTAAAAATAGCAATAAGAAGTAATTCTTAAGTGAGATAATACTTAACATTTTATAGCAATATACGTGTGTGTGTATATATATTTACATAAATATGAATGTTTTGAACTTTTATCATATACCTTTGAGAATATGTCCATAAGCTTGAATGTCAAAGCTGCCACTTATAGGCGGAGATGCTGCTTGAATTCTTTGAACACGAATTTTAGATTCCCCTGGCCAATTATTTCCTCTGTAAACAGATTCATCCTCTGTCTCGTTTGCGATTATCTAATTTCCAAAATAAATATTGAGAAAATGACTAAACTTAACAATGGCTAACATGATTTTTATTTCACCATGGTACAATCTGTGACATGACATAAATGAGCCTCATGTATTCAGGAATCTTCAGAACGTTGAAGAGAGTCACATGAATCAACACAGGCCATACCTATAGAGCTGCAATAACGAGGCCAGTGTTAGCTTAGTCATCTGTTCGGCAATCAGCTGGAACCACTGTAATACCTCATTAATTCAGAATGCACCCTCCATCACTCAAGGAACAAATATTTACTGAGCAGGAGCTCTGTTCAAGGTACAGTGCTAATCATTGTAGGGAGGCAAAGAAGCATGAGATGTGGCCTTGGCTAACAAAACACTAGACACTTTTTTTTGGAGAAATACCATATGGGGACTCTAAAACTTAACCAACAACTTAAGGAAGGATATGGTCAGGACAGTGACTGACCCAGACTCAGGAAATACTTGTTCAATGTTCAGTGCCAATCAATTAACAGACGCAACACATGCTACAGAAATTTATAGATTGTAACTCCAATAGTGAAAATTATATTTTCCTGCTTCTGATCCCTCACAGTTACCTGTTAATCATGTAGAATTTAAAACAATGAACCTTGTAGCCTAAAGAAATGAGTAAGCATAAGTGCCAAAATATGGATGCAAAAATATTCATAGCAGCTTAAATTCTAATAGCCCCAAACTGGGAATAATGCAAAAGCCCATCAACAGAATGAATAAATTATGGTAGCATACCATGGAATACTGCTCAGCAATGAAAAAGAACAAACTATAGTACATACAACATGAATTTCACAACATTGAATGAAAGAAGTCAGATACAAGGGAGTACATCCTATATGATTCCATAGATATGCAGTTTAAGAACAGGCAAAATAAATTAATGGTGGTAGAAGTCAAAATAGCAATTATCTGGGAATAAGGGGTGAGTAGCCCAGGGACAAGGAGGAGGCACAAGGAAGGCCCTTGGGAAGCTATGGTTTTCTTTATCTTGATATTGGTAGTGATTACATGAGTGTATTTACTTCATACAAGTTCATTGAGTTCAGCAAGGTTGCAGGGTACAAGAGCAATACACAAAAACCAATCACATTTCTATATACAAATAACAAGAATATGGAAACCAAAATTAAAAACACAAGACCATTTACAACTGCTTCAGGGAAAATGAGATACTTATGTATAAATCTAACAAAACATGTGCTAGATCTGACCTGAAAATTGCAAAATGCTGATAAAACTAATCAAAGAAAACCTAAATACACTGATAAGAGAAAGCACAGAGGACCTAAATAAATGGAGAAACATACTATGTTCATGGATTAGAAGACTCAACATAATCATGATGTCAATTTTTTTTCAGAACAATCTATAGGTTTAATGCAATTCCTATTAAAAGCTTATTCTAAAATTT